CACTTCATCGAGTCAAGGAGTCAATGACAAGGTCGCCTTGACAGATGAAACATTTGTCCTTGAACTCATCTACTTCGGGGGTCAATCCTAGTAGTCTTCAACTTCTTCTAACTTCCATTTCGTAAGTCAACAACTTTGTTTGCTCCGTTTCAAAACGTGTGAAGGTTTTATATAGCAGACTAAGAGGGAGTACCCCCTCATCCCTATTTTACCCCTTCGGCCGAGAAGGGAGTGGGACAAGTCTAGGATTGGGTTCCCCGATGAGGTCACCGTCCCACGATGCTTTGGAACGGAGAGTACCCCCTCACCCCTATTTTTTACCCCTTCGACTGCGAAGGGAGTGGGGCAAGTCTAGGATTGGTTCGCGATGAGGTCACCGTCCCAGGATGCTTTGGAACGAATAGAAAGGTACATAAGTGTCATCCGAGACCCGTCACTTCACTCTAAATCCTCGGATGTGTATTGAGCGCAAACTTCTGCTTTCGTAATGGAAGAGATTAAGGGAAAACAAGTACGTTACTTTGATTTGTTACCTCTTGTTCAGTGATTAAAAATAGTTTTTTCGTTTTCAATTCTGTGTGATCATTGACTTTCGGGGGTACCCCCTTCCTTTTTTCATCTCTACCGAGAAATACCTCGGGGAGTGCCCCACTTATCGACACGCTCGGGGTTTAGTGCTCTCTTTAAGAGAGGGGGACTGGGGAAGCCAACCACTGTAAGTACTTTAATTCATTCTGATTTCTTTCCTTTGATTGGTTCCCGTTGATGTCATCGTCCCATGATGCTTTCGAATAGCCTCCTTATAGTCAGAACTCGGACCCAAGTCTCTCAGTCTTCATCATGGCCACTTGTCGGACGAACCTCTGTCATTTAGGACCACAGGACACTGTAAGTATCGATTTTGAAGTTGCATGACATTTTTTTGCGTGACCCTGGCGTGATTTGTGTCGCCATGGAAATCCGTGAGACCGATCCCAGTCCTCCGTCGAGGCTGGGTGGGTTGTTTTCCAACATGGCCGACTTTCGTGGGTGCCGCCATCTTGAATTCTTCCTGATTGGTCCGATTTTTCAAGGCGCCATCTTGGATTTGGAGAACAATAGTATCCATTGTTCTCCAAACAATAGCCTATTGTCTTTCTTGGCTCCTGATTGGTTACCGCTGATATGAGCGTCCATTACTAGTGGCACCTACTGGAATTCATCAGTCTCGAATCAGTCTTTCAGTTGCTTGTTTCTTTCAAGCTCAAGTCTCAATTTTAAGTGAAACTGTTTACCTTCAATGTCTTCTCTTTAAGTTTTTTTGTTATCAAATCGAATAAAATCTTATCAATGGTACCTACAGCATATGGCCAGCAGTATAGCATTACCTGACAGTGTTTTAATTAAATAAATTAGCTTTTGGTTGAGGAGGTCAAGGACGGCATTACCCAAAATCAGCACCAATCTTCTTTTTGAGGTAGGATGTGTTAGTTAATCTCTCTACTATTACAGGTTCCTTAACTTTTAGATGTCTTGCTTGGAACACTCCATTTAAAACGTAACAAAGAAAGCTGCTGATACCATTGTTAAAACACCACAACAATATCAACAACAAAATCAATTTATTTAGGTATTTCCATAGCAATAAATGGCATTACCTATTTAAGCTAATGAAAGAAAAATTCAAGTCTAGGCTAGGGACATTGTTTGGAAAACGAAAGCAGCAGTGGATCGACGTACAGTAGAATCCATGCCGTTAATTAACGAGGAACAAGACTTTAGCGTTAATATCTAACTCATCAAAGTACTACATTTGTTAGTTATTTCAATAAAGAACTTTAAACGTAAATTTTCATATAACTGGCATGAGAAAAGAAAGTGCAGTTCATTTTAACATTATTTGAATAGCAGAAAGAGCAGATTCTCTAATTAATGGAAGTCTTCAGTGTTGTGTGTCTACCCGTTTAAATACGTAATTTATGATTCCCTAATCAAAATTTATAATAAAATGACAATAAAACTTCATGCATGAGAATTTAGACTAATTTGAAAAGCGATAAAAATATCTAAATATGCGAGTGTTAGACGTTTCGATTTCTCTGAGATCAGTTTCAAGTTTTAAAGGGTGATTAAAGGTTTTCCACATATGGTTAAATTGAAGACATGGGAATTTGAAAAGCGATAAAAAATATGTAAATATGCACGCAGCACTATAATAAAACTAGTTGGGTTAACCTAACCAATACAGGTAAAAGTATACTGAAATGCTCCCATCGCTTTCGATTCACAAAAATCAAATTCTATGGGCAATTTCTGTACGAGCTAAGAGGGACTTAAATATAATTTTAGCACTGTTTTGATACAGACTTGATAGTTCTCCATTTAAACGTCATAAAACTGTTTCCTTACGAGACTGTCTCATCGACCATCTTAATTTTAGCCCAGAACGAATCCGGTGCATAAAAATGAAGCAAATACATGGATTCACTATGCAATGACACAACGAAAAAAGAATGGCAAACTGAGTAAATATTGTAAAACCTAAACTACAATTTGGAATTGAACTCGGAAAGAAAAGAAGAATAAACTGAAAAGCAATAAAAGGTAGCCAGCACAATGCAAAGGCCAAAGCGATCACTACAGACATCTTCAGCAGATTTTTGTTCTTTTTCTTGCGTCGCTGAGTAGCGGTAGTGGAACGAGCAGACCCCATTTTGTGTTTTCGTAGTTTCAACAGGATTATAGTCTGAAGTATGCACACTGTTATCAGCGGCACAATCAGAACAGTAACTAGTAACGCAGTGTAGTAGCGGGTGTGTGTTGACTTATGATTGAAGGCCGGCCCCCAGTTTGAGACGCATACAACATTACCATTTTCTGTTTCCAAACGGAAAGTGTAGAAATATGGAGAATGAATTGCCATCGCTAAAATCCAAGTAAGGAAGATGAGAAACCGTCGTTTAATGACAGTGATTCGGCGGCGATATTGGTCTGGAAATACAACTGCCACCAATCTGTCAGCGGTGATTAGAACCAAGGACAGTGTGGACACCGCAATGGTAACGTCAGCAGTGAAGTTGCAGGTCTTACAGAGGACATGTCCAATCCGTCCATGGACTAAAAAAACCGTCGAGCCTTTGATTTGAGACACAATCTCACGAGGGAAGTGAAATATGGAGTATAAGAGATCTGAAGCAGCTACGTTGGCTATCAACAGATTCATTGTGATATTTGATTTCAGAGAGGCGAAGATAAGCAGGGAATTCCCCGCGAGTGAAGCAATCAAAAGTACACTGTATATAGAAGCGGAAGTTCTCATGACGGCCACAAGATCAATCGACAGCCAGCACGTTCCGTTTTGCTCAGGACTGAGAGAGAATTCTGAGCTGTTGTTGACGATCATCGTTATTGAAACAGGAACACAATCTGGGGAAAAAAACAAACTGATGATTAACATACCTGTGAGAAGGATTGACTATTTGGCTTCAAAGCAGCATAATTTATCATATTTCATAAAATAACTGACATACTACGCGCTCTGATTGGTCAAAAAACCTCTCACTAATTGTACCGATAAACACATGGTTTCCGATACGCAGCACTACTTGAGAACTAGAGAACTCAGAACACTAGCGAAAACATATGCTTTATATATTTTTTTTCGCCTGAGATATCAATAACACGAATATCTTTGAATTCAACTTATACATAGAAATTTGTAAGAAAAGCAGGACCAGAATTTGAATGTTATATAATGCTTGATCTTTTTCAATTTACATGGCTAAAATTTTTACGCCGATTTTGTTTGCGCTTGACTTTAAAAGAAAGTAATAAGCGCTTTCAGTGCTTTCCAAGGTCTGTGGAGGACGCAGTTCAGACTACAGCTGGGCTTAAATGATGAATTCGGGTGGCTAAAAAAGCAAGTAAAATATTTCTTTTGAGTTACCATTAAGCTTAACAGTACTTTTAAGTTTAAGCTTAAATCAAATCCATGAATGCATAACACGATAAATGAATTTAGCCGGCCCAAGTAATGGTTATCATTCAGCAAAATACGGCGAAACACGGACTTCGTATCCTCTAATATAAGCAAATTAATTCGGAATAAATTTCAGCAGCAACGTTTCTAGCACTAACGTATCCTTCATTCCATTCGCAAACTTTTGGAAGTTGTCATTGAATCACTTCCCCAAGCGCATGAACTTTGTACTACTTGCAAACTTTTCGCAGAGTCTGTTACTTTCGTGATACTGATTCCGGCTACATATTCCTGCATTTGCCCGTCAAATTCCTTTTGAACTGATTAATACTCTCTCTGTCTTTCAGCAATAAACTTTTCCTTTCCTTTCCTTTCCTAGAATATTTATAGCGCTAAATGTCTTCGCGGCTTTGCTCTGCGGATTTTGTGCTGTGTTTTCATTCTGTGATTGATTTTCCTGCGTCATATGACGAATTTGTTGAGAATAAACAACTTGATCACGAAAGTAAAATAAATTTTCTTTTCTTTGGCAAACATTTTCCATAGCTGCTGTTCTTAAAAGCAATACACCACACTTTATATGGGTTTGTGGGGGTAAGAACCCTTGGGATGTTGGGAAAACACTCAAAACGCGTTCAAACACGTTTGTAAATCACTCGCCTAAAGGCTCGTGATTTGCCAACTTTTCTCGTCTTCTCCCAACATCGCGCGTGGGTCATTACCCCTCGAAACCTATAGAAAGTGTGGTCTATTGGTTAAATATAGTTTGCTCTGTGAGCGGGCAAGATGAACCAAATCCTGCGTTGTGATTGGCTACCCGAGCGGGCAAGATAGAGCTACAAAGGCTGAAAATATTCTTGTGAATATTCATGGATGATTGAGTATGACATTTCTGTTTTCGAATGTATTTGGTGCCTGGAAAGTTTAAAAGTAATTTGGGGGCCAGCCTACAGGCATTAAAACCTGGTATGACGCACATAACTTCTTGCAGAAATGTTATTAGCATTGAACATACGGCTAGTGCTGCTTTTGGTGCTTTTTGGCTAGTTTTGCCGTTCACAGAAAGGAAGAATTTCATTCGGTTTAGTTAAAAACATTTAATTGTATTATATTTTTAAATTATCAATACACAAAATTATATTTTTATCAAGACCTCAGTCTCTGGTTTATTCAAATTTCGGCCTCAATATATTCTTATAGAATGTATTCTTATATAAAACAAAGGGTGTAATTAAAAGGATTAATTAAAAATGATTATTTACAGTTCTAGTCGAAAGAAAAAGAAAAATATGAAGACCTATTCGTTATAAGCAACTCTAAATAAAAATGTCTTCAATTTGGACTTGAAACGTTCAAAATTGCCCTCGCCCTTATTGCTCTTCGGCAGTTTATTCTAGAGGGATGGCGCAGTGGCAGTAAAAGCTCTGTCGCCAAGTGTCTTCTTCATTAAGGATGGAGGTACTTGCAAAAGTTCAGGATTAGAGCGAAGACCATACGTGGAAAAATTCCTGACCTAAATAAGATTACAAACGTGGTAAGGTACTTGCCCATGTATGACCTTAAAAGTCATTAAACTCTTAAAATCAATTAATAATAATAATAATAATAATCAATATTTAAACAGGGTGACCCCTTCAGTCGCAGGACTGGTATCAACGGGGGCCCTGTATAACGTAAAATAAAAAGAGCAATTCGCAGTTTAACTAGTGCCAATGAAAGAGGTAAAACACGTGAGTTGCATGCCTAAAGCGCGGAGTTAAACAAATCAATTAACCTAGCAGCTGCATTTTGCGCGTTGCAGCTTATTGATATGAATAGTCGGTAAACCATAGAGAAGACTGTTGCAGTAATCAATGACTCCCATTATGAAGGCTTGCACCAGCACCTTGGTAAACTCCATCGTAAGAAACTTCCTGATGCGTCTTATATTATGTGCAGATGATAAAAAGCAGCTTTACGTGTCTAAGCAGTGTGCGTCACTGAGGCTGGTATCAAAGCAAGCTCCAAGGTTTCAACAGGAACAACGCTCACATCACCGACCAATAGCTTCTCGATATAAACTTTTCTGAGCTGTTGGCGTGTACCAATTATTAAGAATTCAGTTTTTCGTCATCCAACTTTAACTTATCAGTAAACATCCATGCTCAGATTCTCCTTATGCAGAGTTCCATGGCTTCAATTGCTTCGGATTGACTTGATGAAGTGTTAGGCGTGAAGCCCAACTAGAGGTGTGTATCGTCTGCTATCTTGCCTGCTCGTGACTACTCGCCGTGTCCAGCAAGAAAAATTTACCGAAAGCCAAAGATAAATCCTTTTTTGGGCAAGCTTGTTCGGCTGGATAATGGCCTCGTTTTTTGTGAGTTTACGGACCGAGACGGAGTCGAAGTCCTTAAGCACGAAATAAAACTTTGCCAATATCCAGCCATCTTGCCCTCACGCCTGGTCAATAACTCGCATATCCTGGCGGCTTTTTGAATAGATTATTTACGGCACGTATGGTGCCTCAAGTACAACAGGCAGCGCATGATTGGTTGCTATATTTTGGAACAACAAAAATTCCTATTCTGGTTGGTGACGTTCATTTGAGGTGCGTTTAGAGTTAGACGTCATGGTATACATGCACTTAAAAATATTTAGAATTCTGGAAAAGCTTCCATACAAGCAACGAATGTTGTGTCAAATCTGGTCAGGTGAAACCTATGGTTACATGTATGATGCCGTGTAATTTGTAACATCTTCATGGGATGAATTTCTCCCCTTTTTATTTAAATCATTATTTACTAGTTTAGACATCATTGCGTGTATTACGAGGATGATTTCAGGCAGTGAATCGCTCGCAATTTAATCAATTTAAATAAAAGATTAAGAACAATCGTTCTAATGTCACTACGCCTTCTCTTCCTGCAAACGGGGCTACTTTTTAAAATTGATGGCTCAGCATCGTAGATCATCGAAGTGGTGATCACACTTTTTAGACTGTTATTGACCCGACACCAGCTCTAAAAGCAATTTAATTACCATGAGCTGGAATTTTAGAATCTCATCAGATGGACAAATGTCTTGGAGAACAATGCTTATCCGACACTGTTTTAAAACTAACATGTAAAGTATGCTTTCATTACTTATTCCTGTCTTTAATGGATGCAGATAAATTGCAGGTGTTTTAATAAATATTGCGAAGCTTTTTAAAATCACTATTCCTCTCAGCTTACATTTGATGCACCATAATATCGTAATCGCCTTCAACTTAAGGGTGCCTCAGTTTTTACATGTAATAAACGACGAGAAGGTAAAGTGAAGGTAAACCGTAGTTGGTGAATCATTGAATTTTTCTACCGTGGCTAGAATGTCTCGATAGGGTTTCAACCGATAACTGTCCGCTGAGATCTGACGCGTTTTTTAATCTAGATAGCTGGGATCTTTAAATTTACTGATAGGCAAAAAAAAATGGCTGAAATTTCAAATCATGGCCGCGAAAACGCCGAAAATGCAATTGAAAATAACCTCAATATCCCCGCCATCTAGACACCATTCCCTTAGTTTTAAGCTGAGTTCTACTTATCAATCGATTCATGCCTTACCGTGCACCGTCGAGTTATATGATTTCCTTAGGAAGTTTGGAGAGCACGAAAAAAGCCTAAGAATTGATCGTGGTGCAGCCGAAAGTAACTCTAGCCTCTTGAGAGCTCTCCAAAGTCCAAAGTGCATCACAACTCGAGGAGGCACGACTAAAAGTATGAACTGAATCAATTGATTAAAAACATCGACAATGGATCGAGATAAGCTATACGTAAGTTAATTAAACTGCACAAAATGTATATCAGTGTACAAATAAAAAGATAATTGACCCCGAAAATTACTTTTAAAATCTTTAGTGGTTCAAAAATTCTCAGAAAGTGACACCACACCAACCAGATCTCTCGACAAGTTGAGACGATACGCAGAGAAAATATTACACCAGGGCGATAAAGGGTGCATGAAACATGATGCAGAAACAGAAATCAAATATATTTATATATAAATAAACACCGGTTTATTTTCACAAACTTGAAGATGTACCAACGTTGGCTGAAGTCAGAAAGCCTGCTAAAAGCTGTATTTCAAGCATCTCGCATTGTCCTGGGAGAGGTCAATTTTTGGAATGAGACAAAAACAAACTGAGACCACAGCAGATGGTCTAATTTATGCTGAACTTGCGGTCAAAACATCACATTGAATATGATGAATATTTGAATATAAACAGTCTTTTTAATGAATGTTACCTTGAAAAGGTAAACTGAATAACTTTGAAATTTTTGTATTGCACCTTATCGAATAACGAAACTGAACAATAATTTCAAACTACTGAGTCCCAGCTAACTACTGTGTAATATAGTTCATTACATGAACGAAGGCATACCAACAAAACAAATCGCTTTTGACAAATATATTTCTCAAATTCTCAAAA